CATTTGAAATGCTCTGGTACAACACCACGTTTACACAAGGTTATACAATATTCACCAACTATAAGAAATAAAAGCCTTTGATCCGCTTATCTGAACTTAGTGATCACCTTGATCCTGTGATAAAACATTTCTACCCACAGCTGCTTTTTGAATGATATGAATCAAAAGCATTGGCCTTTGCAGGATTCTTAACCCAACACAATAGATTTTGGAACTGCAAGTTAGATAGCACTCTAAATCGCTGTCACCAAGACAAAAATGGAGGAAATATATCTGATCTTCCAGTCAATCAATGCAAAAGCGTATCGCAGCTTTTCTGGCAGCATGTGGTGACTGCCTCAAAGGGTCTGATTTTGTTACTTAAGAACATTTTATTGTTGCTGATACATGAATGTTGTTTTTAAAAGCAAAAGTAGCCATATTTTTCTGCAACTTGGACTCTGCTCATGTGATTTTTCTATGGCAACAGAAAAGAAATCAGCATTCTGGAAAGTCCTGCTTTGCTGAATGTCAGCTGAAGCAGTGCGACAAATAAGCCAGTCACTGCATTACAGTCAACCCTCCCATCCTAAATAATTTAGAAAAAATGACGAGATTGATTGATGGGGTGTGTTTTTGGCACCTTAAATCTTGCTACACATTTTGCTTACAGGCTCAGGCATTACGAAAAGAATCTCAACAAGGATTAGATACGAAGCTCAATCCATACACTGAATCAGAAATACGATCAGCACTGATAAACCTGACAGATACCAGAGCTGAGGATACACATATGGTCCCAAATGCTTCTGCTGACCTTGCAGGGCGATAGCAAAGGTCAGCCAAGTCTTCATCCATCTCCATCAGTGCTGCTCCACTCTTTTCCTGCTCTATTGTCCTCCGATGACCACATGACTCTTAAGCGACCTTCACACCCACAATTCATCTGATAAAGCAGACACACAATATACACACTGACGAGCTGATGGGGTCTGTGCAGACTGAAAGACAGACAGACCTCTGAAAGCACACCCGCTCGTTCTCTCAGTTTCTAACGGTAAAATATGACACGCCGAGGTCCAGAAAAAATACATTTTCGGAATTCTGAAATTGTCAGATAATTGGAGTACGCAAGGCTGTACGATGAGCTAAAAACTTTTAAGAATGAAGCGTTCTCATAAGGGCACTGACCCATTGTGGTGTCCTTTTTATTTTTGCAGAACCACTGCACGCTCAGAAGCAACAGTGTCCTAAAAACATGTCTTTCTGCTTAATAATAGATTTTTGAATAATAATAGTTTTTGAAGAACTACATGTTTTCAGTTACTGCACTTGATCATCAAAAAGAAAAGAAAATGGTCTTGTTTTTCCAAATTATATAATGTTATTCCATTGTTGTATTATTTTACTCTGGTATTTTTTACTGCGTTCTACAATATCACCGTCCAAACACGACAATCAACTCAGATTTGGCATAGTGAGTGCCTATAATTGTGAGCGTGTTGACATTTAAATACACTGCTCAAAAAAATAAAGCAACACTTTTTAATCAGAGTACAGCATCAAGTCAGTGAAACCTGTGGGATATTGATGTGGTCGGTTAAATAGCAGAGGGGGGCTGTTAATCACTTTCAGCTGCTTTGGTGTTAATGAAATTAACAACAGGTCCGCTAGACAGGCAACAATGAAACAACCCCCAAAACAGGAATGGTTTTACAGGTGGAGTTCACTGATATTTTCCACTCTTCATCTGTCCTGACTGTTTGTTCTCTAGTTTTGAAGTGGCTAGTGTCAGTGTCACTACTGGCAACATGAGGTGATACCTGGACCATGCAGAGGTTGCACAGGTAGTCCAACTTCCGCAGGATGGCGCAACAATGCATGCCATTGCCAGAAGGTTTGTTGTGTCTTCTGGCACTTTTTCAGGACCATCGAGTGTATGCCAGGAGACAGGCAGCAGAGCTGGACAGGGCCGTAGAAGGTCCTCAACCCATCAGCAGGACAGGGATCTGCTCCTTTGTGCGAGGAGGAACAGGATGAGCACTACCAGAACTACAAAACAACCTGACTAGATGATATGACTAGGAACATGTCTGACATAGTCAGGACATAGAAACTACTGAGACCATTTTGAGTTGCTGTGATGAAATTTCAACAAAATAGATTGGTCTGCCACATAATTAAAAAAAAGGTGTCTTTGAATTCAGCCCTCTGTAGGTTGGTAATTTTCATTTCCATCAAACAGGGGTTTTTGTTCCTAACACATGACCCAGTCTAGATATTTTCGGCATGATCTTTTTCCATAGAGATCTCATGTGTTTTTAAAGTGTTGCTTGAATTTATTTGAGCTGTGTATACAAGTAACGGTTATATTACACTGGATAGAAATCATTTAGATTCTTAGGAGGTTCTCACCACTGCTGGTGTCCTGTCCATTCCAGGACTGCAACATTCCAAGAGAATGTTGTAACATGCTGGGGTTTCTTTGGAAGTGGGTTCAGTTTTCTCTAACAGTAACAAAAACACCCACGATGTGACAGCTGTTCCCTCTAGTTCCTCTATTACAGAACAAAGGTACAAAAGGATTGAGAATGGGAACAGATGAGGGAGGTAACGTTAGAAGAAGGGATTAGTGGCAGACAAACAAAGCCTGGTTTACTAGATCTCAAGTCATGCATTTGAATTCATCCAGTAGTTGCAGACCATCAGTCTGCACTCAGGTCATAAAATGACCAACTAACCAGCTGTTGGCTTGGGTAAAAACCCAATAAAATTATATGTTTGCTGCCACATTGCTATTAGGATTGGTAGAATAATGTCTGTTGCCTGAATTTTACTGCAGCTGCATTATCTTCCGACTCCATCCTCATGCGTCAAGCATCTATGATGCTGAAGGTCAATTTTTCACAGAAGCCACATCAAATAGAATAAAACGAATAAGAAGGACAGGAAGTTGGAGGAAATAATCAATAACAGACCAGGCTAAATCCGGGTGTGATGTGACCGTGCCGGATGGAGAGGCAGCGTCACAGATCCACACCGGGCGTATTCATGGATACAGGTGCTAGTTGTTAAAGCAATGCATGTCAGTTTTCCAGATATACAGATATGAGTGAGTAAATGTCACAGCAAGCAAAGTTATGAGTAATGCCAACGGCAGGCAGTCAAACCTGGCCTAACATATTTCTGTGGTTCCCACATAAAAAGAAAGTTTTTGTAAAGCAGTAACAGTTTGTAAAAGGCAGGACAGCTCGATAATCACTAGTACATATAGACCATAAATAGCACAGCGCCACATGACCTGTCCATAAAGAGACAACAGCAGCTTTCTTCACTGTCTCTACTGACAGATGTACCATCTATATACCTCCAACAGGACAACTGTTCCCTCAAAGACTGCTGGAAATGAAACAGCTGACAATAAATCCTCGTGTCTGTCTGCCCCCAAATTCACTTCTGTCAAATAAATCCAAGGTGAGCGCGCCACTAGATTTGTGTACAGGGGAAATGACACCTCTTTTTTTTTTTTTAATACCTGGAGACGAATGGGGTTAAGTAGAGATTGTCGATCCTTTCTGCACTGTCTCCAACCAGGGATTAGTTAACGGTTTGTACACTGCAGGGTGATTCAGTAGACAAATGGTAGCTTTACCTAAATACACACATCAAAAACATGCCTGGGATTAAAGTGCATGGGTGTTTTCACTTGTAAATTAATCATTTTTGAGCAGAGAAGCATCTCCTGATGCAGTTTTTTTATGCTCAGTTCAAAGAAAGACCCAAACGCAGGACACCTGCAAACTAAAGCCAATCTTTATTTAAAATGTGCTTGTTGCAGCACATTGCAGAGACTGATGGAAGAAACAAATAAAACAAGACAAACAAGACAAGAAGGAGTCTGGTAGACAGACAAAGACCATAACTGCCAGCTAAGGGGAGCACTAGACTACACGGAGACCTGAGTTCACTAAATTCGTTGAACGCAGGTAAATGATTAACAAAATACAAGAGAGAAAAAAGCAGAAACCCCAAATGGCTCCACAGTGTTTGCAGTCTAAAATGAACCGTTCAGCACTGTAGCAGCGGTAGACCTCATACATGTTTCAGTCCCCACGGCACAAAAAAGAGGCGCAGTTCTGCTTACCTCGGCAATGCTGCCACTCTTCCAAAGGCCTAACTGGGGGTCAGCTAATGGGATTATGTGAGTTGGAAGCCCTCATAAATGAAGTCCCCGGTGAGGAGCGGGGAGTCCCTGCTATCCCTTAACCCTCTTTAAATCCTTTCCCTTTCACAGTCAGACAGGCACACGAAGACTGCACCAGCTCTGCTGCCGTGCTTGTAGGAGCTGTGCTCAAGGCGCTGGGTGACGCCCGCCCCCCTCCTCCCCCCGTACCAAAAAAAAGAAATTTATGTTAATAATTTTTTTTAAAGATTATTCCTAAAGCTGTCTAGCTTTATTGCATTGTACATCTGAGGCAGACAGAGGATGGAGGCCGTGGGTCACATGGAAACTCTAAAAATCACACGGCTGGGGAAGACTGATATGGGTTTACATGGCACTTTTATTGAACAGTGAGACATCTGGCTGTAATTGTCATCCTCTCTGTATGCTTGTTATATTCACTTCTTTAGGACTATTAAAAACACTTTCACTGCCTTCGGTGCTTTCCCTCTTCCCTTTCCTAATTTTTGTGAAGGTATAAATAGTAGTTATAGGAGTACTGTTTATAATTAGAGCAGGCTCTCAGTGGATAGTTGTACTGTGATTTAGTATCCTTACTGCTTTATTGGTATTTCACACTGGATGCCAGCCAGAGTCAATGAGATGGGATTCTGGAGACTGTAGTGTCATATTTTGAAATGGATAATTTTATAATTATTTTTAGCACAAACTATTGACTTGTGATTATTCCAATTTAAAAAAAAAAACCCCTATTGGTCAAATTTTCATTCGCTTCCTCAGACAAATCTTCGTCTATGCACGCCTCCTAAGCTTGATGTGTGTTACTTTGTTTCTGTAGAAATGTGAGCTCAGACGGGGCAGAGGCTCGGCGCAGACTGAGGGAATGTGAGGGATTGGTGGACGCTTTGCTGCACGCTCTTCAGTCAGCTGTAGGGAAGAAGGACATGGACAACAAGGTGAGACAACATCCGGGTCATCCACTATCATGGATTCAGAATGAGCTCATTCTAATAGCAGCTTGTTGCTGTAGTGTTCTTATGAATTTATGCTGTTCAGTATTCCTGTGATGAATGTAGCTGGTAATTTTCCCGTCTTTGTTTCACAGTCTGTGGAGAATTGTGTTTGTATTATGAGGAATCTGTCCTATCACGTACACAAAGAGGTGCCGGGGGCCGAAAAGTACCAGGACCCGTCGGCGCTACAAGCCCCAGGTTCAGCGGGACCACAAAGGAAGAAGAAAGACGATGCTGGCTGCTTCGGAGGCAAGAAGGCCAAAGGTGAGAGGGAGGATGAACAGAGGAGATGAAAACACTGTAACCAAACAATCACAGCTATCCAGTTCGTAGAAGATACAGATGCATGGATGATCTAACTCTCAATACAAATGTGTGCAAATAAAGGAGTTACTCACAGCAACACAACAGCTCTTAATGCATGTGTTGCTTCAGAGGTCTTAATCAGTGTTCTCCTGTGACTGTTATCTAAATGATGCCGTTATCGCCCAGCTGTACAACAGTAATGGCCGCCATTAATCAGTCAGCCAATGAGATGTGACTACCAGCCAGTGACCCCTGACTTCTAATGGCTCTTTGGAGAACGACATTAGTTTAGGGTTCAGGACAACACAATGCTTAACGTGTACAGAGATTAATAAAGAAGCCAGTTAACCGCTCGGATGCTTTCCGACGTGTAAACACACGTGCAAAGTGAATGATTACAGCCTTCAGACTGTACAGCAGTAGGCTAAGTTTGGCCTCTTCTTCCGTTTAGTGTTGCATTTGTTTTAAAATATGACATGATAATCAGCACGCACTCGTGCTTTGTTTTGGCTAATAGACAGCCTGATTGTTGGCTCTTACTTCAATCTCTTTGAGTACTTTTCTCCCCCTCCCACGCAGTGATTTTAATTTAGCACCGCAAATGCTGCTGCAGTCTCTGCTGTTTTATGTGTATTTCACCTGCCCTCTTAAAGCTGATACTTAATGTTTTTTAAAATCTTTCCCTTTTCCTTTTTTTTTTAATTCTTTTCTCTCTTTCTTGCTTGCTAACCTATCTAAAAACCCCTTTCTCATTTTTCTTTATATCTGACACTTTTCTCTGTCTTTTACTGCCCTCCACACACCTTAAAATCTATCCCCATGGGTCCCAGAGACCATCTATGAACTGCTAATGGCTTGCTATCTATACAAAGCACCGTTTCCTTTCTTTAGTCTTTCTCTCTTTATTTAGCTTATTTGTCAGTTTTCTTTTCTCTCTCACCTTTCCTATTCAGTAACAGATGACTCCTTTTTCTGATAAAAACTGTTCTCATGTATTACACGGCCTCGTGACACAGACACACACACACACAGCACACTCCTATTTCACCATGGCTCTTCTCTCTTCTCCCTGCTTTGTTTTTTGGCATTGCTGCTGCTTCCTTGGCTAACTATAGAGGAATGGTTTAATCAAGGTGAGTGCCCCCCTCTTCAACCTTTCTCATTTTAGCTCTCTCCTCGTCTCCATCCTCTCCCTGTCTTCCCCCACCTCTTCCTCCTCCTCCTCCTCCACCTCCTCGTTCTTTCCCCCTGGCTGTAGAATATAGTTAGAAGTAGTTTTGGGTGTCCTCCAGAAACCTGAGAAAGTTCCAAGGACTTAAGAAAATCGGGGGTTTCATTCATTCCACACACATTCCCTTACCATACCTACCGACCGTAGCTCTGAGCATTATAGACTTCCACCTGTCCCAAACTCCTCAGTTTGTTAGAATTAGTTGGTTGGATTTTTTTGTCAGTCCTCTAAGAAAGGTGAAAGGTAAAACGAGTGCTAAAACCGGTAAGTCAACAACAAATCTGTCTTTGTAGTGTTCTTAAGTGGAGCTTGACTAATCCAGCGAACCAGAGATGCTGAAATGGAAATTTGCACATCTATCCCCAAATTGAACTTTGGTGTGAATTCTTTTAGACTCCAGATAAAATGAATCCTGACAGCTTTGAAGAACACCGCTAACGGTATCCAACTGGAGCTCTTCACCCCTTTCTAGTACACTTAAGCATAAATGTCAAGCTCTGCTGCACACTCAGTTTTTTTATGCATTTGTTTGATCGTTTGTGATTTGAAACTTCTGAGAATGTCAATAATTAAAGCTAAAAAATACTTTATTAAAGCTGCCTGGATCGTGCGCTACAGTTTTCTATTATCTGGAACATTTAAGTGTGCAAAAAATATAGAGGTAAATGATTCTTTACGGATTTGAATGTTTGGGCTTTTTGGGTCTTGCAGACTTTTTTTTTTTATGCTTTCAGACAGCAGTGCTGGTTCTTTGTTTGCTGTGGTGGCAGCGAGGGAAAATTCTGACACCATGGCTACTAGCTTCCCATCTTACCAGCATCTTGTTTTGCAACACTAAAGCCTCATTCAGACATGGATTTCTGTGAATCTGACGCCTGGCTTCATGTCGTTTTTTCATACAAATCGAGCATTTTCACTGTTTACAATCCTGCAGACATCTCTCTCTTAGCCTGTGTGCAAGGAGCATGCGAAGCCACACACAGACCCCGTGACAACTGCATTTACATTTCACTGGAGTCAAAGCTGGCCAAGCTTTTTCCATGTGTAGTAAAAGTCATGTGACCTTTCACGCTTGGATGAAGCCATGATGTCACTTTTTCTTGTTTAGCCAATGAAATAAAAACCATCTTTACCTGAACAACAGCATAAAGTCACTTTAACAGAATGATGACTTGACTTGAAATGTGAAACACTTTATAAAAGGCCAAGCTTGAAATATAGAAATAAAATTTTCCATTGACTTACATTTAAAATATTTTTTATAAACTTTTCTTTAAATAAATCATATATAACTATTTGGAGGAGACAACTAACACTAACTTTATTTGTTCAAAAAAAAATCCTCTATCCTTGAACCTGGATTTAGACAACTGATGTAAATTATTTCCTGAAGGGAAGCAGTTTAGTGTTTGTACATATCATGTTGCTACATCTGTGTACTGTGTGTACATTTAAACACTTGTGCGTTATTTGTTGTTTGAGATGCATTTTCTGCCCCTACGGTCCAAAGATTTTGACATCATCCTCAGCATAACCCTGGGGTCTCTTTTCAATATCCAGTTGTCTGACACTGACGTCCTCGTTTCCTTCCTCTCCTCCAGGCAGAAAAAACGGTGAGAATGACAAAAGCTACGACACATTGGATCTGCCTAAGCGCACAGAGCCATCAAAAGGTAGGCCTTTGTGAGCAAAACATTTTAACGCTAAATCTATACAGAACATCTCATCTAGTGAGTGAGTGGTTGGGTTGGGTGGGGTGGGGGCAAGTCGTTTCTGTGGTGGTCAACAAGAGTGTGGGAGGCCTTTGAGTGAGAAAGAGGCTCTCGGCTAGCTGGCTGTTGAGCTAGCTTTGTTTGATGGTTTTGTGCCTCCAGTGGGACGGTTGATTGTTTGCAGCTTGTGAGAGCATCAATTCTGTAAGCCCTTCTTTTTGTTAAATGCTGTGACAATGCACTGAGGCACAACAGGCAATAAACAGCCTCTGACTGTATACGGAGGCTGAAAATCATCTTTTGTTAAATATGTTGAATTGCTCTGTGCTCAAAGTTGTTTCTGACAGTGCACCTTAGGAGTGGATGGACAGCATCTTCTTTTACATCATGTATGTTCAGTATGGGTGCTGTTGTTATAGCAACGTGGCTCAAGTCTCACGATGTCATTTGTGTGTTGCCGGGTTGCAAAAATGGTGGGTTTGATTCTTGTGAAGGTGTCGCTCATGACTCATCCAGTGGCGTCATACCTTGGTCAATCAGTGGAATACAGTCTGACGTCATATTTTCAGCTCAACTGAGCAAACGTAGGATGCTAAAAAAGTACCTGGTACCAGGTACTTCCACCTAGGAACCAATGTTGATGAGTACCTCATAGAAATGGCGCTTTACTGATCATCTGGCAACCACAGGTCATGAAGGAAACATGTGTATTCCCTATCCAGTTGTAGGTGGTGGCAGTTGCTCTGAAACTGATTGCTAAAGCATCAGTCTACAGACCACACTGTGATCCCCTGGCAACTGCTGGTTGCATTCCAGGACTGGTTTGGCAAGTGGTTTCTGAAGGTTGCTGTCAGTCTCTTGTGTGAAACTGGGGTTCAGGAAGTCACCAACCAGTGTCAAGTCTTGTGTGAGTGAAGTCTAAAGCTCACAAATTTAAACAGTAAACACAGGTGTAGCAGCTCTGCCAGGTAATTTGATTTAAAAAAAAATCTTGGCTCTGACCAGTAACTTCCCAGAGTTTTTTCTGGTTCTGGTTTTAAAAAAACAAAAACACTTAGGTCCTCTTGAACGTTTCAGTTTTCAAGTTTTTTTTAAAAGCTTTTATTGTTTGTGCCATCACGATATAATGACTTAATTAGCAACTGCTGAGGTGCTGACCATCTCCCTGCAACGTTAATCATGTTAATCATTCATGATAAGCCACATTGTTTACAGCAAACCTTCTGCTAATACAGTTGCCAAGTATTTACACAGTGGAAAAGTAACAAGCTGGCATGTCATAACTTCCTGATTTAGGTTGACTACGTTCAAAAGATTAGGAAAGTCGACCTTACCCTTACCCAAAGGATTTATTATCACATAATAACTAGAAGCCACATTGCTTCCACCCTGGAGTATTGTAGAAAATGTTTGTCAGCAACACACAAAGCTTGAGTATGAGATGTCTTTAGCTGTTGCTTGAGAACTTGAGTCAGTGTGGTTACTGGGAAAACATGGTTGTTTGAGGCCTTAATTTCAGTCTGTGAATCCACAAACTGATTATTATTTATTGATCATAGTCAAATATTAAAAGACTCTTATTCTCTCTTCTCTGTTGTCTAATGCATTGTACAAACAGACATGATGTTAGGTAACATTGCAGGGGGCATCATTCCCAGATTTGACATGTGGTTCACGCAGTAGAGTGTGTGTGTGTGTGTGTGTGTGTGTGCGTGCGTGCGTGCGTGCGTGCGTGCGTGCGTGCGCGCGCGCAGGCAGGCAGGCAGGCATAGCCTCTCAGGCAGTTGACTGTCATAAAAGCAAATTAGCCTGCAGTACAAACCTCATCGAGTTAGGAGAAAGATGTATATTTGCTCATGTGTATGTCAGTACAGTACATTACTCTGCAGTAAAGTGTCCGTGGTGTCTGTGGAATTCGCATGCCCTTGTTAAACACCCCTGTGTGGTATTAACACATCAGCACCTTCATTACCAACCACTTAACTTACTGCAGGAACCTTTGGAGGGACCAGCATCTAAGTTTGTGGAAATTGATTTATTCCCTTGAAAGTCACCGCTCCGCAGCTGTACTTTCTCAGAGTTCAGCAACTTTGGGTGTGGGGCTTGCTGTGCTGATTGGCTGACATTTCACCCTGTCTATCTCTGCCACCTCACAGACAATTCTGGTAAAAAGCTTGCAAAAATTCACCACAGTTGTGTGTATCTTTGGCAAGTTTCCTCTGCCAAAGTGGTTGTATCCTCCAGAGTGCCGTCTCGCTGCTCAGATTTACCTGTCACAACATCGGCAGATTACTTTATCTAATGTACTCCGATGCTTGAACAGTGAAAATGCAGACAACCATTGTTCTCAAAGCACCTTTTAGTTACATTAAAAAGTTTTTGTAAGTAGAAGCTTTGGGTACTTTGGATAGAAATGTGGCTAATGTCTAGTGGCAGGCACTCAAAGTCCATATCACTTCCTGATTGACTGTTAATTAGCCACATTAACACGTCAAAGTGGGCCCTCGTTAAACTAGATCACAATTAATTGCTGTGCTTTTCCAAGTTAAGCAGATTTTGCCTTTTTTTAAATTGCCCCTAAAGTAAAGGAAAGTAGATGAGCTACAAGGATAATAATTAATATTTTCCACTGGCTGGGTTTTCATGGGTAAAAGCCAAGCTGCCACACTGCAGCTGAGGATCTATAGCAGCTAGGCTGGTGCTGCGATTGCATTACACAGTGTGGAAACAACTCCCGTCAGAGTTTAGACTCCAGAGAAAGCAATTATCGTTATAGGCCTAAATGTCATGCACAGCTGAGATGAGTGTATGGGTTCGTGTTGTAGAGAGCGGCCCCGGCATTTTCTTGCTCGCAGACAGACAAATCATATTTGACATTTATTAGCTCAACACACAGCAGAATAACAACAGTGAGATGCATGGATAATAAGCTTAATCACCAGAGCAAAACCCACAATGTCTTTTAAAGCACATTTATCACTTTTTCTTCACTGGGAAACATCAGGGATGGACGCGCTTGCTACTGAAAGACTGTAAAAGTCCTCTGGGTGCCTTGTTTGTTTTTTCTGTGAAAATGTGTATTTGTGTGATTGGGGCACATACTCCACTACCCACCTCCTCCACCACCATCACCATCACATCCGCTGGTCACCTGGGGGGCGTTTGCAATGAGGGAGCGAGAGCAGCTCCCAAGGCTGAGGGAGATATGGGAGATTACATGTGTATCCCAGTCCTGATCTGATGTCAGGCAGGGAGAGGTCAATGCAGGGAGCATGCTGGACCTGGCAGTGGGCAATGATTAATCTTGTTTATGTGTGTGTGTGTGTGTGTGCGTGTGTGTGTGTGTGTATGCTGGAAAAAGAAGAAAAGAGGAGACAAGAGAGCAAGGGCTCTGTGGGCATTTTATTTTGACAGCGGTTGTGATTAGAGGGCTGTCTGATGCATGTTTTGAGACAACTTTTTAAAGATACTAAAAGCTTCAGATGTGAATAAGTAACACAACATGCCCGACACTGACTAATAGCAGTTAAATGCTGTACTTTGTGTGTCTGCTAAGTTGTTGCTGGGCAGTCAGAGTACATCAGGTTTTTCCAAAATTGTTCTGTGAAAGCAGATGGCCGATATAACAGAGACCTGAGCTACGAAGCAGGATTTGAGCTTAACTATGTAACTTTAGGATTATTATGAAGACGGTTCACTTCTTACCAGGGTATATTACCATGATAACGTACGGTGTAGACCTAGCCTGTGTGGGAACAGGTTATTTTTCAGATTATGGATCAATAAGCCGATATCACAGTCCAATGATAATTTGAATCTCTGAAAAATAGCCCTCTGATCTGTGTGCACAGATACTATAAGGGCCTGTAGTTTTTCAGTAGCATCTAAAGGCTGTTAAACACCACCAGGGCTGAAAGGATAAAAACTATAACTGTCTGACATTAAAACAATAATTTAACAAAAAATCGTTTGTGAACTTTTATAAGATTGAATGATTTAGTTTCTTGAAAACAAAAGTGAAAAGTTGTGTAATACCTGTAGGAAGTTTGCCCACTGCAAAAGTCCAAGGCTGTAGTTCCAGCATTGGTGTCATTTGACTACAACTTTATGTACTGTGAGCACTGGAAGAGAAATAATGTAGTTCAGGGATTAGAAATAGCTGCTGTGTAAAGTATGGCTTATAAAATAATGTTATATAAATGTCAGCATGACTGAAGGTCGGAGTTATTTATCCCGTCATTAGAGAAGTCCAAAGTTACTGGGGAGGGGAGCTGTAACAAAAGTGATTAAGAATTGTGAAAAGACCCTTTCCATTAAAGAGCCTGTGAGTGTGGCAGCCCCTGAGATGTTGAAACATTTTCCCAGCAGTTAATTGAAACCACAGCTTTTACCCTTAGATTGGAAAAAGGTCAGGAGAGGAGAAGGAGGTGGGAGAACGGAAAAGATGTGAAAGGGTTTATGCAGTTAACTTATAGATCATACTTAATCAATTCTAAAGCATTAAAAGGTTTATGATCAGCCGACTCCTTAGCACCAAGTCCGTGTGATGTCCTGTTGTGCCGATTTGCAGCTGTGTGAGAATAGCACATGTGTGCTGCATACGAGCAAGGACGACTGTTCCAATAATAATGTTCCAATTTGGTTTTTCCAACATATGTGAAAGTGGCTTAAGAGTGGTGAGGGGGGGAAACCTGAATGGAATCTTGGTTCTTCCTGGTTTCTTCCAGCCTGAATAAAATATTGAAAGGACAGAGAAACAGTTGTTAGCTTTCCTTTGAGGAAACACTGTATCCAATTAATTAGACCTTACATTTACAGTCTTCATATGTTTCCCTTTATCTGTGCTCTTATGCTTTACTGTCAGAGTACTCTCATGATGCAGGAGGGTGGAAAGCACCTCACACAGCTGAGGATGTATTTGTGTTTTCAGTGAGCCAGAGCATCCAAAGTGTGCGAGTACA